AGTTAAATAAGATAACCGAACGAAAAAAAGTTACCTCATTATACAAATAATATAAAAAAAAAATTCTAAACAGTGAAAAGACAAAGTAGACACTTGAAAGTACAAAGAAGAAACCGTTGTATTGGCGTCCAAGAAAGGTCCCACCGACCCCCGCACACATTTCATATCTTCAAAAGAGCACACAGATTTCATTTTCCTCATCCCTTCATTCTCCCCTCAAAATTTTCCATCATTTTCACGGAGAAATTACCCAAGCGTTCCAGCACCCATGCCTTCCCCTGTCGGCTCCCCCACAAGCTCCCAGTCGGTGACTCAGACCGTCAACGGTTCTCACAGTTTCACTATCAAGGGCTACTCCTTGGCCAAGGGCATGGGCATCGGGAAGCACATAGCCAGCGAGAGCTTCACCGTCGGCGGCTACCAGTGGGCTATCTACTTCTATCCCGACGGTAAAAACCCGGAAGACAATTCTACTTATGTCTCCGTTTTCGTTGCCCTTATGTCTCCGTTTTCGTTGCCCTAGCCAGTGAGGGCACCGACGTCAGGGCTCTCTTCGAGCTCACACTTTTGGACCAGAGTGGAAGGGGCAAGCATAAAGTGCATAGCCATTTTGATCGCGCTCTCGAGAGCGGCCCTTATACGCTCAAGTATCGGGGCAGTATGTGGTGAGTTGATTCTTCAAGAAATTGTTGTGGATTCTATTTCATTCTTAGGCAATTTCGATTATTAATAGGATACATGAATTTGTTTAGCTTATATAGTTATCTAAGAAAATTTTCCTAAAACTATATTAAAAAGTATGTAATTTGCAAGGTGATTCATGCCCTAGATAGATCTTAGAACAAAGGAAGCCAGTGGAGATCATCATGAGGTAATTAAATTGTGATCAATTGATTATCTAATACGGAAAAAAAATATAAAGAAATGATTAATGACATGCATAACTCAAAAAATTCTGAACTTGTTGACTGGGAATGACTAGGAGAAGGAATTAACAAACAGAATGGAATTTCTATCCTTATTGAACTGTTTTTTAATCTTGATTAAGTCTTTGAAGGAGTGAATCTTGTTTAAAATGAGTAGGAATTGTATCCATTTTTATATCAAGAAGATTCAATGAAGTTTCGAAGCTATTATAAACCTAGATTTATAAAGTTTTCCTCCACAATTATTGAACTTATGAAAGATGTTTAAATTCAAGAATACCTTTCTTGATGAAGTTCTTGAAATTCATAACTCCAATTTCAAGGCAGAAAAGTAGGTAGGTAAGTTCTATGTATTATCTTCACCTCCTCCACGGTAAATCTTGCCATATTAAATTATGCTGCAGTGATGCAACCCTTGTCCATAAGACATATTCAAATGTTATTTGTTATCTATCTCTGTCTTTCTTTAACTTAAAGGGGGTCTATGTGGCAATTTTCATTTACTCATGATTATAAATCACATATTGCACTTTAATAACCATGTTGTTATTGTTTCAGATCTTAAAATGGATTTATTTCTAAATGGCATATGCAAAAAATAAGCACGTCGTTGTCCTGGCTGCACAATGCAGTCATTTTCTTCCTATTGTGGGAATTCAGAAATTCTATGCCTCCTTCTTTTTTTTCCTTCTTTTCGCTCTGTCTGATCATATATGAGGCAGCAGCCTACTTGAGGATTCCTTGTTATCCATATTTCATTTTCCAGCTTTCATGCCTTTTCTTCTGTAATTTTACCTCCTCTTTTTATAACTTGTGATCTCTTCTTTGAGTGAAGATGAGGGTGATTGGGGTTAGAGAGGAAAATAGTTTTAGGAAAACACCATGAATTAACTTGTTCTAGTGGACTGCGTTCTTTATTTTTCTAGCCCATACGACATTATGGGAAATCTCTACCTAACAAAAAAGGGGGGAAGCCAGTGTAAGGTGCGTCTTGTTTTTGTCTTTCTCAGTGGCATAAACAAGTTAATGCCTCTATCTTTACCAGTTATTTTGTGCATCAACATTAAAGGCACTCTAATTTCTGTGCATTTCTGTGCTTGATACATGCAAGGTTTCTATATTCTCTACTGTGGTCCTATTTGCACTTTGGGATGTTGCATGAATACAGCAGTTTGTTGTTTGGAAAGCCCAATCATTAAAAATTAGATTTGTTCTCCTTAGTGAGATTTCATTCAGAGGATTTTTAGCTTACATATCTTCTGTTGTCTGTCATTGATTGTGAAATATTTTAGCATCTTATTATGGAAGATAGGAGATATGCTAATCCTCATTTTCCATATATGACCAAGAATTAAATCTGCATTTTTTGACAGATTTAGAGTGAGGTTTCTTTGCAAACAGTAAACTATTCGATTCCATAGTGAGTTTTCATTCATGGGACCTCTTGAGCCTAACTATCTTATGTTGTCTATTTGTCACTAATTGTTAAAGGTTTAACATCTTACCATGGAAGATAGGAGATATGCTTATTATTGCATTTGCCATAAATGAATGAGAATCTGGAGACCTAAAACTTGTGTGAACCTGGCCTGGATTTGAGGTCTATGCCATAAGATGTCAAATTTTAGATTTCGAGTGTGTTTATGTGCATTCTACATAGACTCTTTCAAGCAATGCCACCTTTGGCAGCATTCATTATGTTAACTGATACTAAGTACTTTATACTGAAAAAAGGTATTCTCCCTGAATGTGGAACAGGTTGAGTTTTGCACTGTTATAGTGTTACCAATCTTAACCTGTCAGTCCCTTCATACTGAAGTTGTTAGCAAACACAATTGTGCTTATGCAGTATGCTTGCAAAGTGGGTTTGAGGGTGTTGAAATTATTATGGATCTGTATTGGGGTATCTTATATTTCAAGTTCTCTTCATCCTCATGTCTTCTCTCTTTTTACTCTTTCCAGAGTACTCTCGATACTCTTATGGCAATTGCAGCATTGGCTTCTTGTGGTGCTATCTGTTCACTAGTTCCTTCAAGAAAGCAGCATCATCATCTGTAAGTTGAAAGTAGTTCTTCCTTTTTGATTCTTGCGATGTTAAGTGTGGTCTGCTAGATTTTGTTGCAGTTGGAGGTATAACGTTATGTAATAGTCATAATGAAAGATTTTACTAGGAGAAGGAACTGCTGTTAGCTAAGTCCTCTTTATGATGCCTGGCTGTTAGTGGTTGATTCAACAGTTTGCCATGCTTTTTATTTATGTTTATGTATTTATGTGTTTGAATTTAACTTTCCGGTCTAAAAGCTGAACCCTTTTTCTGCAGGGATCAATTCAGGCAGGCTATTGTAAAGCACGGCTGTGCTGAGTTTCTTAGTAGGTCTCGAAGAACGTATCCTAAAGAGAAGTTGTGGAATAGTCCAATGAGTCCACCGGCATGGTCAAACTCTTCTGTTAAAGGTATCATATCATTCTGTCTTATTACAGGGCCTTTTGCTTCTGAACTTGATTGTACAGTAGCTCATCTATTTTGTTTGGTTCTGTTTGGCTGTCCTGTCACAGGTGTACTTTCAGCCTCTACCAATTCAGGGACAAAGAAACCTGGTGTACTACTCAACTCTCCACGTAGACACGGTAATCAGAAGAAGTTCACAAAGCAAGAATGGGAAAGATTTCACTCGAGAATCAACCCGAATAACTATGGCAGAACTGGCAGCAACTCCAGAATTCACTAACTGGGTCATCGAGCGTGCAGACCGTATAAAGGTCATTTCAAATGACAGTTCAGATGAATCAATTGGGAGCAAATCGAGTTCTATAGACGAAGAAGCTGAAGAGAGCAGCAGTCAGTTTAGATTCTTTAGTTGGAAACCGTGAAGTTGAAGATAGAATTAAGCCGTGAATTACACAAGAACATGTTGAATTAGCATCAAATTTAGGAAATTTAGCAGCCATTTGCCAAGTGCAATCTCTGTGAGCATTTAGCATGACATTTTCCAAAAAATTAACTGACCACGTAATGCAGACGGTAAGACTGTTTACCATTTGATGTAACTTGAGTAATGTACAGGCGAAGCTAGGAGAACTGCAGGTATGTAATTTAGTTTTTTTTGTAGTAGATGCAAATTCGATTCGTTATACCATTTGTTACAATATTTTATGGGGCCACACCAATATATCTTAGAGCATGAATCATTCAACAAAGAATTGGGAGAAACCAAGTTCATGGAGATACTGACGACCATTACTATAATCGAGCCTCTCATTAATTACATCAAAAGTCAAAGTTCTATAGCAAATGAAAGTGATACATTTACAATGTTTTGTAGTATTGACATGTGATTATATAATTAATTTTTTTATTTTTTTATATTTAATAGAGTTAGAAATCCAAATTGGTATGTATTATTTTCTTATAAATATAAAATCACAACTTTACAAGTATTTATAGATTTACTCTTTTACCCTCAATAGAAAATACAAATTCGACCTCAAGACCCTATCATGCATCTATAGCGTTATATTAACTCTATGTTAGATATACTTAAGACCAAAATGGCTAACTCAGAAGCTAGAATAGTGTTTTCTCAATAATCCTTAACTAGCCCCACCACATAAATTTGGATTCAGGACATGCCACTTGTTTTGTCTGAAAATGAGAAATTGGATTTCCGTGACAATCCTCTCATTTCAAGTAATAGATCTCCAAATAGGATGGATGAAAGGTTGTCCATCTGTGAATTTTGCTGCTACTCAAATAATGTTGCAAAATGAAGGGTTTTGCTTTGCAAGTTGGGTTATTAATTGTCATGGAGAACTTCAAAGACTTAGAAACTATTAGGATATATAAAAGGTTATCAATCTTAAATTAAAGACAATTTACTAAGAAAGAAACTATTAAGATATATAAAAGGTTATCAATCTTAAATTAAAGACAATTTACTAAGAAAATCAACTAAGAACAATGTGGAATTGATATTTACTTGAAATAAATTTGCATACTAGAGACTGCCCTAGCTTACAGACTAAATCTATGATTTTGCAAACCATATTTAAATTCTAGAAAACTAATTCAGTTTACTTCCAGACTAAACAAAAACTAATTAATCTACTAAAGATTATAGTTAAGAAATTATTTGCTCAGAAGTATAGTTGCGAATTGAAAAAGAAACAATTATTTAAATAACAAGTAATACAAAAAGATTATCCCAAAAGTAGTAAAAAAAAGTTGTTCCAATATCATTTTCCTTGCGAAATAAGCTAAATTTTGGAAATAATCAATCCAAAAGATGCGAATTATTGCATGAATGAAATCATGAAGAAAGCAAACATGCAACCCAATTGAGAAAACACTTGAAGAAGTAGAATTTGTTGAAAATCACTAACCAATTCAAAATCAAAAGGGAAAACCAAAACAATATGGCTGGTTTTGCTTCCGAATTCCCAAAGTGAAAGATGATATCTTTGTAGAAAACTACAAACAAAATAGACGGATTCAAACT